ATCAAGACTGTCTATCTGAACTAATCAACATTACCAGAAGATGTGCATAGAGATGCTTTATAATGTACCACTAACATGACTGACAAAACTTCTCTGATTGTACATAAATTTTTTGGCGTACTGTAGCATGAAAATGTATAGAATCTTAAGAGAACAATACAATCATATTAAGAGTCATTAATAAAACTGAATAAAAACAAATGAAGTCTTCTGGTAGCAATTGAACATTTGAAACAACATGCACTATACCACAGCAGCAACGTTATACATAACTGCACTGCTCTTCTGTGGGCCTAATTACATTCAAAACTTTAGAGAGGCCAACTACAGCCACCAAAAATAACCTATCATGACTAACAAAACTTGTCCTATTGTGCATTCATTTTTTTGCATACTGTAGCATGAAATGTATACAATATTAAGAAAACACTACAATTATAATAAGAGTTGTATTAATGAAATTGAATTTAAAAAAATCTTCTGGTAGCAATTGAACATTTGAAACAACATGCACTATACCACAGCAGCAACCTTATTCAGAACTGTACTGCTCTTCTATGGCCCTAATTACATTTAACACTTCAGAGAGGCCAGCTACAGCCACCAGGGATTCCCCTGTAATTGCAGACCGACATTTTACGCATCCTTGACCCTCCTGAAGTATAACGTCGACACATTGTCGGCAGCCAACCAAACTTCGACAGCAGCGCGCCAGCACAGGACTGTTCATCACTCCTGTAACAAACATTACAAATATATGATAATTAAGAATCAGTTTAAAATTACCCTTTGCTTTAATTCATTAAAAGAAAACTTATAGGACTTTATTACACTTTATTTGATGCTGATGATCATTTGTGACATTCAGCAGTCTGATATTTCTTAATATACAACACTAATTTTAGGCGGTTTCCCGGTCCAGACTAAAATGTATGTCTGAACTGTCTTAACTGAAAACAGCTTAAAATATGTCTGTGCCATTGTTTTGTCTCAAGATACACAACCAGTAATGTTTTTTGCAAGGTATGTTTGTAAAAACACTTTAAATGTCCTAATATAACTAACACCTACTCCTGGCTTAATTTAAACCCTTTCCGGGAAACCACCCCTAAGTGTCAGACTAATGACACCAGTGCTACTATAAACCACTTTTTTGGGGTCCTGATTATCCATTTGGGGATTATTTTGCAATAATGACCAGATGACAACATTGTCCCTTACATACTGCCCATATAGATTATAGGCAATATTTTATGAAAGTGTTTACCTCACTTTGTTGTTCTGTGAGGCCCTCACTATGCTTAGACAGCTCCCTGAGCTTCGCCCAAGAAGGACCTCCTCGATTTGGTCTCTTATTTCAAAGAGCTCTGATCCTTCGTGTCTTGAAGCTTGCCTTTAACAGTTGAAAGACAATCAACAGATGTATAGAGAAGAATCTCAAACCCTATTTAGACATTGTTTTCTAAACTCACCCGAGATCAGTGATTTTGCATTAGCGAGTTTGCCAAAAAAGTATGTAAATTGCTAAGGAATTGTTAAAAAGATTATGCAAGAAATAACAGAATTGGCACATTCGAATGGGATTAAAATGAGAAATTTCTCTAACTACCTCTGGATAAACTAGTCCCATCCATAGTAGCTTACCAACAGTTTTTCGGCAAACTCTGTGGTTATCTGAGAAATGCAATCCCATCTGAAAGTCTGTCTGTGATTGCAGATAATAAACACCTTTTCTTAAATGTTTTGGTCAATGTAAACTATAGATCTTACTAATTTGCACATCTTCTGCTTCCTGAATCCTTTATATTGTGGATATCTGTTTTTGCCATCTGACAACAAAATAAAAAATATAATAAAAGTCAAAAGCAAAATCCTATATCTGTTAAAAACTGGCCAATGTAATATCACAGATCCACACTTTAATTTGTCCACTCAATTACGTAATGTTATAATTATGTATGTACATAATCATGTTTTTTTATTATTATTATTATTTCATTGTGTTTTTAAGCAGCCAGTTCTCATGCCATGAGATTTATACTTCATTGTTCTGGAATAGACACGTCGCTGGTTTGCTCTCTTCTCACAGACCTGTTGTTTTTGACTTGTAGTAAATGAATCCAGCAGCTGCTATGATGATCCAGCAACTCCAGCAGTGAATAACAGCGGTGTATTCCCCTCAAACTCAAGCAGAGGAGGGTCACACATCACTCTATCATCACAGTATTTACTCTCAGATATGCATTTTGTTTAGCAGGTCAAGGTTTGACAACTGGACAATTCCCATATTATTTTTAATAGATGCTATACTGGTATGTCATGTGCAAAAGCAGGTCTGATATGACGAGTCTTCTCTCTTACTCCAGTCATAGATCATGGGTTTGGTGAAGCCGGCGTGTTCCACCATACAGGAGATCTTCTCTCCAGCTTTGGGAGTGTACTCCAGCTCAGTGTGAATCTGGTGGTACCAGTCTCAGTTAGGCATCTTCTCAGTGGAGGTCACGTCAGAAGTCACCACTACACCTCAGCCAGGACAGGACACACTGATTTGCTCAGGGTAGAAGTCATACGCACTGCACATCAGCAGCGATGGATGTCTGCTGTCTCCCTGCTTCACTAAACTCAGCTTCACCTGTGGCGCCACTGAACCAGGAAGAGCCACAATTACATCTTACAATATATATATTTCCATTATATGCAATACACAATTTTAAAATGTGTTTTATTTTAGCTAAATATTTTCCTTTATAAAAATGTTTAAAACGAGCTCTGTGTGAGTCTTGAGTCACATACCTGCTTTATCATGGATAGCTGTTTTGTACAGTACAGCATTATGTTTGCAGACTCTCTCAACTTCAGCCTTTAATTGCTGTAACAATGCTGTATCTTTGTTCAAGTTCTCTGCAGTTCTCACTCCAACCTCAGTAAACCCCACAAACTCCCCCACAGTGCTGTTGAACTGTACGTACAGATATTTATTGAAGTAATAGCCATCCAAGAACACCATGTCACTGAAATCACTGGAGCTGTAGATGCACTGTGGCCAATGGTAGTTATAATATCCATTAGCTGGAAAACAATAAAAAAAAACACAAGCACTTGAACACATCAGCCAGTTGTTGTTATTAATAGAATGTCCTTTCTAAAACATCATGTTCATATTATTAAAATATCTGTACCTATACTTAACTACATTGGAGGATCCACTAGCAGAGAACCATCCTAACTAACAGCATTTAAGAAAATATTGCTGTTAAATCTTACCAACACTGTTAATACCAAAAACACCAATATATCCACACCACTACTACTACTATTACTACATTTCTCTCACCTACTACTACTATTACGCCCATTTCTCTCACCTGTGCCGGTGAATACAGACAGCAGGAGAATGTGATGGAGACTCCAGAGCTTTGGCACTGACATGATCACTGTGACCATCACAACTGAGAGCAGACAATACTCTGTTCATGATGAAGAGAGGAGGGTCTAAAACAACTGTCCAATCAGACACTGTTTGCATATGTGTCACGTGTTGCTGAGCAATATCCTGCTTTCATTTTAAAATCACGCTTCAAAAAATTTAAATAATGGTTAGATTAAACAGATTAAACATAATGACCTTTTTACTTACATTCCTGAAAAAAACTGCAAGCTTCCAACAACCTCTCCAGTTTTGGAGGACACAAACACTTTTCTTTATTTTTTAAATCCACGATAACACTCTCTAATAACTATCATTATTAAATCATTAAAATGCGACCGGGAATGGTCTTAGGGGAACATTTAGTTGTCTGGGAACCGCACTGGTAACTAGTTCCTATAACTGAGTTCCTATAACAACCCGGGCTGCGTTCCACTTCCCTTTTAGACATGCACTCGTGATCTTCCCTAAGCACTACTCTCAGGTGAATCCCTGCTGCCTTTTTGAAGTGTGTTCCACTTCGTGAAGTGAACGTGGGAAGTTTATATGGACAGACCCTCACCTCAAACAACTCTGTGATATCTTTTATATATTTAAAACAGCTCAAACAATATCTATATACATGATGCTGCATCAAACTAATTCAGGGAAAAACAGGGAAAAATGGTAATAATAATTCAACTTCTTATCAGATTCCAGATGATCAAGGTGATCAACTGATCAGCCAGTAGTGGACACTTGTGCAACAAAATCAGTGACGTACGTCTGAGTCCAGGAGATAGAGGGAAGTTAGTGAGGGAAGGGCAGATGGAAACGAACTGGAATGCAGCTAACAAGATCATTATAAAGGTGTTTAAATGACAAAATACATTCACTTGCACGTATTTGAGAATCTGAATATCAGATGATATTAATTCAGCTCCAACTCTAATCAAACACACCTGAAGCAGCTAATCAAGCTCTTACTGTGCATACAAGAAACTACAGGCAGGTGTGTTTAGGCGAGCTGGAGCTAAACTCTACAGGACTGCGGCCCTCCAGGACCGAGTTTGGAGACCCCTGACCTGTACAGAGCTGCTGTGGCTGCGGTGTGTCACGTGACAAGCATGATGCGTCGCCACGGAAATAAGATGATACATTCTAAAATAATGGTCTCCTTAAGAACTGCTAGAATATTTGAAACTCACACGTGAAAGGGTTCATATACATTTGAATCCTTACAAATGCCATTAAAGTGGTTGTTTAATATGATTTCTAAAATAATGTTTTTAGAAAATGTGTAAATGTAAAAAAGTGCATTAGATGTTATATAAATCAATTGGATCATTTCTAAGCATTCAAATGCACATGAATAAATAAGCTGCTAATCAGTGTATAACATCTATTAAAATCATTTGTAGATTTTTATAAAGTGCGTGATCATAGCTGTATGATTAGAATGTTCAACATTTGTAAGCACTTTAATTTACATCAACCAATGTTCTGTTAATTATCATGTAATGTTCAATAAGTTCATTAGTAAACATTTACAAGCACATTGCCTCACACATGTAGCTCTTTGAATATATATTGACTAATGATCTATTACACAATAACAATGAAAGTTATTATAAAGTGTTACCCATCTGGCAATGTAACATGTCTAAAATTCAGGGGCGTGGCTACAGGTGGACTGGCTTTATATCACTGTAAAAGATCCTTCTGTGTGTCCATTTCTCCTCAGTCCCTCTGTCTCTCCACGCTTTATTTAAAACAGCTTTTTCCAGGGAAAGTTGAATATCCAAAGCAATACACTGACAGACATTTAAATCTTTATTTGGAATGTATGTCACAAAACATACAAAAATGCTTTATAATTGTAAATGTTTCTCAAACATGTTTAATATAGTATAACATAATTTTAAGTACAAAAAAATAAACATTTCAGTTCATAACAAAATCAAATACATTTTGCATGAAAGTAGCAAAAGTGTCTTATTTTAATTATTAAGTAACTCGATATAAAGTTTGTGATTTCTTTAGATTACTTATGATGAACTGCAAATGTAATATATAAACAAAAAGTCTTCTAGATATAAGCATGATTAGTGCTACATAGCAAGCAAATCCAATTTCAACAAAGGTTCAACCAGATCTTTGCATTTATCAATCTTCGACAGCAGCAATGCTGTCCATCATCTAAAACG